GGCTGCATTTATTTGATCACAAATACAGTAAAACGGTACTGTTGTGAATAATTATTACAGTTTAAAAGAACTGTTTTATATTTTATTATATTTAGAAATGTAATATATTCCTGCGATGCAATTTTCAGCAGCCATTGCTCCAGTATTCAGTGTCAAGGGCTCCAGACTCTTTCTTCCAACTGGTTGTTTTTTTGCGACACTTTCTCAGTTGGTCGCATGAGCACATGATTTGGTCGCAATTGTTTTTTTTTTTTTGCTACAACATGGGATTAATCAATGCATGCTGATGAACTTTTATCATAGTTTATAGTTATATGTAAACGAAAGAGGTTAACATTCAACCCGTTCTTTTTCATTAGTAGTATTATTTGTGATTTTAATTTTGTGAACGGGAGTTCCTCTTTTGCTACGTTATAAGCCACGGGCTTCGGATGCTTTCGCTTTTGAATTTGCGATCTTGTCACGTTTTACAAGAAAAGATAATTGCCTGTTTTGCTTACATCTATACCTTTCACTATTTAAGACTAAAACAAAAGATGGATTCATTGTTATTCTTAATTAAAAAGCACAACAACAATAAAACAGTAAGATACAATGACAAACAAGTAGGGCTGGGTATCGATTCAGATGTTCCAATTCAATTCGATTTCGATTTTCAAGCTCTCAATTCGATTCGATTTCCTATTCGATTTGATTTTTGATTTCAATTCTCGATTCGATTTGACTATATGAATGAATATAGATTTAATACAAATCCTACATTTATAAAAAATGAACAGTGAACATAAGATTACAAATGGTTAATTAATAGGAAATTAAGAGCCACAAACCTGTATATTAAACACTTTTTATTTTAGGTACACTTGGGATACAATAAAACAAAACCCCACTATATATTTCATATGCTGTATCATATACAGACTAATAAATTACAGAACGTTTAGCAAACACTGAGGAATCAAATAAAAAATATAAATAAAAGAGAGCCTCCATATCATAACGTGAGGTAAACAGTAGGGATGCTCCGATCCGCCTTTTTCGCCTCCAAATACCGATTCCGATACCTAGGGTTCGGTATTGGCCGATACAGATCTAGTATATACTTGTATTTATATACAAGTATATACTATAAAATTAAAATACATTTCTTTTAAATGTACAGCATATTTTTTAATAAGGCAACAACATATGATAGACACGATAGGACAAAACAAATACAGTGCAGCACGAACTGTTTTTTTTTAAAAAGGAATTAATGTTTCTTCCATGTTTTACATTTTAACAGTAAACCTGTTGAGCACCACCTTGCACAAAAAAAGGAATTGAAACTTTAATTTGACTTAAAATTCAATAGAACTGACCATTCGCAGGGAGCTTGACTGACAGGCCATCTGACCAATCAGAACACGGATATGTGTAGAGCCCGACCGATGTGGGTTTTTTGGGGGCCGATATTCATATTTATATCGGCCGACATTCTTTATGTGTCCGAAGGACAACCACATTAGAATGCTTAATATGTATTTTTATTAAGTAGGCCTACATAAATGTATAAATTGCTTGTAGTATACTTGGAATGAAATACATTTATTTCAAATACATTTTAGTATATTTATTTTTCACTAGGGTATATTCAAGATTTAAAAAAAAAAAAGGCTTTAAAAGTAGTGTTAACGACTGTGTGGCATATTGTGAATATAGGCTATAGGGTAACATTTTATGTCACACCTTTGCATGATGGGAGTTTCTTTATATTATCATAAAATAAAATGCTACAGTATTTTCCTTTTCCTTTCTATTGGCGAATGATGATTCTGAAAGAAAACGTGCCAGATGTCTGTTTGCTATGATGACAAATGCAACTTTCACGCATCTACTCTAGCAGTACTGGCCACGAGTACTAAGGAGAAATCACACATTGGCAGCTCAAAAAATGTGTTGATGAGAGCTATGAACAAAGCGCGAACGCAATTCTGTGACTGGCGGTAAATAGTGGAGCGCGTGAAAAAGAAATGTGAGGGCACGAACAACGCTGTTCAAGGTCCCCATTAATTTGTGCTTGTAAAGCATTGAATCGCTATAGAAATCACAATTCATTCAATTCTTACCGGTTTAAATCGATTACTGCCCGAAATCAACAATTGACATTTCAAAAATTTGAAAAAACCCCTAGTGCACACAGAACTGCTTGCTTTTGCATGTGGCACCATCTCTTTCATGTCAGCATTCCAAACCAAAAAAAAAAAAAAAAGACAGGCAGTAGTGGAGTGCATGAAAGAGAGATGTGAGGGCACAAACAGTGCTGTTCAAGGTCTCTACTAAATCGTGCTTATAGTAATTTAATGTGTACATATTTTAAAGCATTGAATCGCTATAGAAATTGTGATTCATTCGATTCTTAGCGTTTTAAATCGATTAATGGCCAAATATACGATTCACGATTCAAAAATCCATGTTTCAAGATCGATGCATATGCATCGTCAGGGTTTGTAATCTATGCATCGAGAAAACGAGTGAAACGTTACACCCCTAAAATTTAGGAAAACAGCAAGTGATTTTATAGGGCCCTACACATACTATTTGTGCTTGTGATTGGTTAAAAAAAAAATTATTTCTCCAGATATATCAGATCTCTTTAGCTAAGAGTGATTCAAATCTGAAATATCTGCCATCAAACTTCCATATTTTCCCCTGCCTTTTACCTGTATAGGTGATGGTTTCTCCCAGCCCATTTCAAAGATGCCCATAAGCAGTTCCCGTTTCAGGCAGTAATCCTCAAACTCGTTTCCCTTGGTCGCCGTCACATCCTGTAAATTTCACGACCACAAGCAGCATATTAGAGAAAGATTCTGGCTCAGAGGATACTTTAAGAGACATACAAATAATGTGTTAGAGATGGACTTACTGAAGTTCTCATGCGCAAATCCTTCGGAGGAAGCTTTAGATTCTTCTTCCAGTCATCCCCAGGCCTAATAAGAGGGAGGGGAAAAAAGGCATTAAATCTCAATCACCACCATAATAAATCAGCACTCGCAGCATCATTTGCACTTCCCTCAAGGACTTACTTGATGATAGTGTTGGCTGTGGGTGCAGGCTGGGAGTTGCCGTTGTTGACTGTGCTGGAGGGTTTGACCTGGGCTGGCTGCGTTGTTTGGGACCCCCCTCCACCTCCTCCTGGACCACCTGCTGGCTTCACCGAGCCTCGCATTTGGCCATTTTGATTCGACAGTCCCAGAATCACTGGATTCTCCATTCTGGCTGTACTCATGACTTAAATATTCTCTCTTGCAAACAGTGAGTGACAAACAACAGTGGAGATAATAGTTTATCTTAATGGGCCTGCAAAAAAAAAAAAATTGCAAGTTGTCCTTCCCACAGCTCTCAATGTCCAAGGCGCACCAAAAAAAAAGAAAAAGAAAAAAAGCGATATTTTTCACCAGTTCCTTGTTCCTCAATATGCAAGTCTCTTGTCAATGTCAGTGTCCCTCAAGCAACAGGTCACAGATATTATAAGCAGGAAGATTAGCTTCAATTATCCTTCCATGAATGAGTGAATCCCTCCTCTGCAAAAGGAAAGTTTCACAGACCAGGGGCCAGGAAGCCAGTGTAAGTCTTTTCAATTACTCTGTCCATTCCTTTCTCTCCAATTAGTCAACAATGATTTCAAAGGTTTACAACCTGCGTGAGAGAAAGAACATCATAAAGCACATAACATGAAATGTCAAACACAACCACGAGTAAATTTTTGTCAACATTGATACCCATTAAATGTGACAGGGGTTCCCCAACCTTTTCAAACCAAGAGACCCTGCATCCAAACTGACAATCCAAGGATCCCCAATATGAATAAAGTTGTCAATAGGTTCCATTTTATAAC